AGCCCCACACCTGGCAGCTGTTTGGCCAAGCAGTCGTGGCAATGTCCCATACACAGTGTGAGCCAGCCCCTCCCCTCCCCCCCGCGCCCAGTGCCCACCTGCATCATGTCAGGGATTCCTGCCTTCCTCCCGTCAGCACACCCTGCGGCTTGGCCACAAGTGCTCTGGCTGTGGGGCACCCACACCAAAACACCCCAACGCCCCCAAAGGCCTTACCAGGCTGGGCTCCTGTGGTGGGGCACATGGCAGGCTGTGTGCCTCCCTGTGCCACAGCTTCAGCAGCACCCGCTTAGCCATCCCTTCGCTGAGCGGGGGCGCCACATGGCGGGGTAGGCCTAGCCCCCGAGGCGCTTTTATCTGAGTGGGGCATGGGAGGTCTGCAGCAGAGCGGTGCTGCTCCCAGCTTGTGCCCCCAGGGCTGGGAGTCAGTGTGTTGTTTACAAACAGCTAAGAAAGGGCTGGCAATTAAATTAAGGAGCGGAAAGTCCTTAGATGAGCCTGCAAAACAGGAATGGGCGGGGCGGGGGGGGGGGTTGAAGTCAGACTGCAGGGGCCTCAGCGGTTACAGTCAGCAAAGAAGGAGATGGGGGGGGGAGGTAGGTGAAAAGAAGGGGCCAAACTGAAGGGAAGGGCTAGCATGTGGCCCCCTCACATTAGTAGCTGAGCACATCACAACGGCTACCCATTGCTGGTGGAGCAGTGCTGTTCTCCCCATTGTACAGCTGGGGCACTGAGAAACTTAGAACCAGATTGTCAAAGGTATTTAGGCACTTAGTAGGATTTTCAAAAGTACCAGGAAGGTTCAGTGTGTTGTAACCTCCACTTAGGGTGACCAGACAGCAAGTGTGAAAAATCGGGACGGGGGTGGGGGGTAATCGGCACCTATACAAGAAAAAGACCCCAAAATTGGGACTGTCCCTATAAAATGGGGACATCCGGTCACCCTACCTCCACTAGATGCCTGGTTGGGTGCTAAAAAGCTTTAAAACTCTGTTCTTAAGGCACTGCCCTGAGGTCATACAGGAGGTCGGGGGGGGAGTAGAACCCCCCCCCAGACAGCCAGGTGTGCCCCCCCCCATGCTCCACCCCCAGCTCCTCATTCTGCTTCCCATTCAGTGTGGCTCCAGGCCCTGGCTGGGGCTGGGGCGCACTAGCCTGGGGCAGAGGCTGGCAGCTGCAGTGGGGGTGGGGGTGGGGGCTCCCCGCTGGACTCTGAGGGAGAGGGGGCCTCAGGCAGAAGGGGTGGGGCTAGCCTCCCCCAGCCATTGGTTCACGCGCTGCCCATGGTCCCTATCCACTAGCCCAGCCTCTCGCTCTGTTGCATGCTGCACAAAGAGTGGATTCTGATAGATGGGCAGGTCTCTGAGTCCCAGGCAGTGGGGAACGATGTCATGGTTGACAGCATGAAAATCAGCCCAGAGGTCTTGGAGGCTGAAGAAAGCAAAAGACAGAGTCAGTTGAGAGGCGAGCAGCACTTACCCCCCAAGGGTGGCAGGTTCTGCTCCAGGCTGGCTTGTACAGCAATGCCTGCTATGCAGGTTTAGATTTTAACTGAAAACCATTTTGTTTTGTCAGTTTTTGTTCTGAGCTCGAGAAAAGGAAGGAATTAGAAAGTGCCGTTTGAGTATCAGATGTGATTATACATCAAATTCTTAGGGTGTCAGCTGTATTCAGGCCAATTCCAGAACAAGGCACAGAAATTGCATCCAAACAGTCCATAAAGTGGACGATTATTGTCATGATTTGAATTATTTACTGGCCACCATCTGTGCACTCAGCACTGTTCAGAATATGCCAGAAAATCCAGCCCCTGAGTCAATGTGTGTACAATATGGAGCCCTGGCTAAGGGCTCAGATACTTAAGTATGAAGTGTATAGTTATTGAGCACATGTTAATATCTATGAATGGAGGTGCTGATAGCAATAGAAGTTTTACCTGATTAAGGACTGGAAGATTTGACCCTCCAACTTTCTTTCAAGAGGAAGAGCTGCCCAGAGCACCTGTGCCTGTCTGTTTTCCTTTCCTGCCTGCAGTGGACCTGATACACCTCAGAAAACTCAATTTTTTTCTTAACTTTAAAATGTGAAATGTTCTTGCTGTTTGGTTTTAAATATTCTCCTGTGAGAACTGCAACTCAATCACCGTAGTGTTGTGTTCTTCTGGAAAGTAACTAGTCTTTAAACAGTGAAAGCAGTTTTGCCAACTCGCATGAGTTTGTCATGAGTCTCATGATAATTATTGTTTTCCTTAAAGCCCCAGCTCCTGGAATCATGTGACATGTGATGATTTCAGCCTTCATGTAGGAGTTGGATTTTATAATGTACTATGAGAATTAATGTATGATTTAATTTCATCCTGTCAGCCACCCCTTTTGAATAGCAGAAAGGAATGACAGACCAGAACAATCTTTATGAGTGATTATGGTCACCCTTTTGTTTTAGAATAAGTTATAAAGCTACTATGGTTTCCTATATGTATTACAAATTAGGAAGTAAGAGACAGGATTCTCTATTGTATCTATGTTAAGAAGTATCAGAGGGGTAGCCGTGTTAGTCTGAATCTGTAAAAAGCAACAGAGGGTAAGAACCTCACTTCTTGCATCTGAAGAAGTGAGGTTCTTACCCACGAAATCTTATGCTCCCAATACTTCTGTTAGTCTTAAAGGTGCCACAGGACCCTCTGTTGCTTTTTATGTTAAGAAGATTAGAGGAATGTTGAGGGCCTGAAGCCCCAATGTGAATTGTTTTAGTTATAAGATTTAGCAAGGCTTGATTTACAATGTATTCTGCTGAATATACAATACTGCTGTCTGTATACCTTTGAAGGTTTCTGTAAGAGATTGTTTGTGTGAATGAGGCATGCATGCATCGGAAAAAGATAAGGTGTGAAAGCCATCACAAATGTCCAGATGGTCAAGAAAAAGTGAGAGACTTGGAAAGACCAGGAGACAATCAGAAAACATCCATTGTATCCGATGTTAAACATGTTAGCAGCATTGACGACCTCAGAGGTGAGGCAGGCACCCCCGAAGGCGAGACAACAAATAAGAGATAACGATGGGAAGCCCGACAATAACCATCAAATGATAACACCACTTAAGGACTAATGATGACAGGATGACATTGCAAAATGCATGGACTCAAATGAAAATTTACAACTATAAAGCTGGGGTGTTTTGCCATGAAACTCTGGGTTCAGTCCTGCAAAGCCTCGGAGCATCGGATCGCGACCGACAGAACCCAGCGCCACACTCATGCTCAGTCTAACTGGCCATGAGATTGACTTGAGTTACAACAGACTGGTAACTATGAACATCACTGGCAGGACTGACTCTGTGTGTGTGTGTGTCTCTAAAAAGCATATGCTAACTGTGGTATTCTCAATAAATGCTTATTTACCTTCCTCTATAAAGATCCCGTGTGCTTTGTATGAGCATAACATTCATTCTTAAAGGAAAATGAAGTTTTTAGCCCTTGTGGCTGTGGAGAAAGCTTCAAAGTGTGACACACACACCCCTGCACCCAAAAGGCTCAAAAAGCAGGCGGCCAATAAAAAGAACACCAAATCTATTATTTTTACATAATCTCATGATTTTAAGCCAATCTCCTGATTTTGGTCACCCTGACTCATGATTTTTGAACATTTGGGGTTGCCAATACTGTGAAAGTGATTTGTGTCAGTTTCACTCCTGTTTAAAACCAGTTTCTAGTCTATTATTTGTAGTATGATAAACCCCCTAGAGCCCCAGGCAGGTGCCGTATAAAATCCGGGGCCTTGCCCTGGTAGGAAGTTTCCAGAAGTTCAATGATCTGTTCCAAGCTGGTTGAACTGCAAAAAGTAAGTAGCCGAAATGACAGAACGTAATCTAGATTTGTCTACAACTGTTTTGAGTGTTGTATTCAAGAGTAAACATCTACATTCCATTAAACCTAACTAGTGTCCCTGGAATGACTTGCCACAAGCGGTCAGTACGTGTTCGTATTAGAGCTGAATGGGTCGAATATTGATTTAATGTTCTTTCTTTATATAGGAATTGGATACAGGGCTCCTGTCAGCTCATCGCTAAGTTATTATCTGCAAACAATTCGAGTTTTCAGGTGCCTAAGTAGCCCCTGGAATCATGGTTAAAATGCCCCCCACCCCCAAATCTGACATGAGGCCCTCGTTGCTTAGCCCATGCATGGTGCACGTGGGCCTGAACTACTCAGCTGAGGCCAGCAAGTCGTGAACTAGGAAGTTTCCCACCGCACTTGGGTGCCTGAGCACATTGCCATGGGTGTCCCCCCTCCCCCATCCCTGCTGCAGGGGGCCAGGCCGAGGCCTCAGACAGCAGTTACAGTCCACACAGCAGCCCTTAAAACAGCTGCATGAAAGTTCATTTTGTCAGGTGGAGCGAGGAGCTGGAGGAGCTCACACCTCACCATCCACCCAGCACAGCACCAGCAATCCCGGCTCCCCATTGATCACCCCATTGTCCCCCATCCAGCTGCTGAGCTGTCCAAGGGCGAGACCATGGGAACTGGAACCGCTCCCTTTAAAACCACTCAACCATTACTTGTGTCTCTCCAAAAGAATATTGGCAGGCGGTTCCGCAGGAAGAGAGGAAGCTAAGGGCTGGTGCTGTCACTGGGGTGGGACAAGGCCGAGAGGGAGGGAACTGTGTGGTTCTGTCTGGCTACCACTGACACTGCCAGGCCCGGTGGCTGCTCGGAACCAGATCTCACCAACGCAGCAGCCGGAGCTGCTCCCCACCAGGCAAGTCAATTTCATAAACCCGCTAACACGGAACTCACCCCTTTTTTGGTTCAACTGAAGGTTCAGGGGCAGTGGCAGCAACGGGATTTTTCCCCCCACTCACATGAAACAAAACATTTTAAAAATGGTTTAATAAAATAAGGAAACATTTTGACTAAAATTCTCATGTTTGGTTTGGTTGAAAAGGCTGCAACACTTTGTAATATTTTGTAAAAAAAAAAAAAAAAAAAAAGTTTTAGTTGAAAACATTTTGCCCTTGCCCCAACATGGGCATAAAACCAACTGGCCAAACAGTCACAACTAAGGAACATGTCTGGGGGGCTATGGAGCCCTGTTTGCAGACAAGTCCGCAGCAAAACCTCCCCCATCACACACTTGCAGAGGACTGTGGGCCTAGGAGCCTGTAGGGATTCCCTCCACACAAAACCCTCGGGCACCCGACCTGAGCTCCTTTGGGTGGTACAGCACTCAGCGGTGGAGGCTTTAGGGTAGGGGGGTGGGCAGAATATATCTCCCCCCACGCTCTGTCCCCATCTCTGTCCAACCTCAGCGTCCCCCCTGCTTTGCCCCGCATCAGCACCATAAGCCAGCTCTGGGGTTCATGTTTAAATAATGAGGACCACACTTATGTCTTTGGCCACGCTCAGGTCATCCCCATTCCCAGGTGCTCCGGAGCCTGTGTCATGTGCTCAGTCCCTGAGAAGTTGGGGCACAGGTGCCCAGAACAATGAGTCCTTTTTTGCACTGGTACAATCAAGAACAGTGGAACCCCTGGCACCAGGAGAGGCAAGGTGGTGGTGGGAGGGTCCCCTCGGCACACAGAGCCCATTTCAGGAGGTGATGGGTAACCAGTTCCCAACCCGCCCCCACTCTACTCACAGAGCAGAGAGAGCGCCCCCTGGAGGTGGCTGGCAGCATGTCTCACATGAGGCTGCATCTGGTTGTGTGCAGCGCCCCCTGGAGGCGCATACTGGAGTGGTGGTGTTTGTAGCCCCGGGCCAGCGCACTGCTCAGCAGCTCCTTGAAGAGCAGGACAATGTGCCAGTTGTACTTGGCAGAGCACTCCATGTAGCCGCACTTCCAGCTCTTCTTCACCAGCACCGAGAGTGTCCGACGCGGCGTGAAGCGCTGCTTCTGCTGGTCCCGCTTGTTCCCCACCACGATGATGGGGGCCTCGTTGGTGCCACCTGTCCTGCGGGAGAAAGGACACGTAGATTAGGGAGTGCTGCATGGGGCACGAGCAGTCTGAGAGAAGCCTCATGGAGAGGGGGAGGAGAGGACTTCTAGTAGCCAGGTGCCCTCCCACTCCCAGCCCCAGCTGGCCTCAGCACCAGAGGTGATGTCTTTACACAACCACCCTCATCTGACTCTAGCTTGTCCAAACAGAGCCACCTCCCCTCCTGGAGCCAGAGTTTCTCTCCTCTTCCCTCCAGCCAGGATGGTGAACTAGGAGTATATACATCCCTCTTAAGTTGCGGGACGCACCTGTGATCCCCCAGCGCCCAAAGTGAACAAGCTAATTCCTCTGCCTGGGTCTCGGCCCATGGCCAGCCTAACCAAGGAGATGGATCTGCCCTGGAGCCTGATGCAGACACGGTAGGTTTGGCCATGTCTGCCAGCTGCAGAGATCTGAATTTAGGGCAGAGGTGGCCTAGGCTGGTGGCTGGTCACTCCAGGAAGAGGATCTCCAGTGCTTATTTTGTGCCAAGGCTTCCCAGCACTTCTAAGCTTAGCAGTTCGGGCACCGTGGGCTCTCGGCCAGCAACCGCCGCTCTCCAACCGCCCAGCTCCGAAGGCAGCACCACCGCCAGCAGCAGAGGCAGGAGCACCTGGGCAGCGGCAAGCAAGTGCCTTGAGGAACATCTCCTGGCAGCAGGCTCCGCAGGCAGGGGCCGGCTCCAGGGGGCATTGCTGGCCAGTGCCAGGCTCCTTTGGGAGCGCATTGGGGCGGAGCTCAGAGCTGTGCTGCCAGCCCGCCTGGGCAGCGCCCAGCTGTGCAGAGGCAGCTGGCTTGGGGAGCAGGCACAAGCACCAGCTTCCTCTGGGCTCTGGGGGGTGCACAATTCCCCGCTCTGCCTCTGGCCCTGCCCTTCCCGAAGCTTCCACCCCCACCCTGCCTCTTCCCACCCCTCCTCTGCCCCTGCCCCGCCTCTTCCTGCCCCTTCCCTCCCACAGTGCCACCCACTCCCCCAGGTGCGCCCCGTCCCTGCTCCTCCAGCAGCCACAAAACAGCTGATCATGGCAGGCGTGGGGTGGGGGTAGCTGCCTGCCGGTGGGGGAATCGGCACCTATGGGAGCAGGGCAGGGAGGGCAGCCAGTGCCCCAGCTCCCATGGTGCAGAGAACCAGAGGCCAGAGCAGCTCCCACCAGCTTCCCCCTGGTTTCTGGCAGGAGGCGACAGTTTGAAGCAGAGGGGAGGCTTGCGGGGGTTATGCAGAGTCACCTGCCTCCCCCGATTGCTTGGTCGCATGGTGTGGCTGAGACCCTGCCCTGCGGGGCAGCTAAGCCAGCGAGCTGCACCAGGCAGGGAGAGGCGGAGGCAAGAGGAAGCTGCAGGGAGGGGCCGTGCTTTCCGGGAGGGAGGGGCTGCCCATGGGAGGCGTGACTCCAGCAGTTCTGGGTTGTGCCCCCCCAGTCACTAGGCACAGGTCATCTCTGGTTTGAAACCTCTGTGCTAAATGGAAGGCAGAAATCTGGGGGGGGGACACATGACCCTGCAGTGCAAATATGCTTGCTTGCCCCGGGCGCTAAAATGAGCCCGGCACGTTTTTCATTTCAAATTAAGCCCTGAGGAACTCCCAGGATGTGTGGCCCTTCCCTTTCCCCCACTCCCTCTGGGAGCTGAAATGGAGCCGTGGGGGGCACCCAGCTGCCTCCCCCCGGCCCTCCCCACACTCACCTGTTCTCCAGGATCTGCTGCTGGACCATCTTCACGTACTCAAAGCTCTCGGGGTTGCAGATGTCATACACCAGCACAATGGCGTTAGTGTTCCTCAGCCCACGGCACGTCAGGTCCAACCACTCCTAGGGGAGAGAGTGCAGGCTGCTCGGGGAGGGGCAGAGCCGTCCCATCAGCCTCCACCCCACCACCGGAGGGAGGCAGGTGTGGGGCAGGGAGGCTTCAACAAGCAGAGGGGAGAAGACCGAGATCTCCTCTCAGCTCTCAGAGAGGACGGCTGAGGATGGCGGGCAGCATGGGAGCCCAGGATTGCTTAGTCCCTGTCTGGGGCCATTGGGAAGGGGGTGGGTGTTGCTTGGAGACTGAATTGACCAGGGCAGGGGGATGGTCCCAGGCTGCGATTTGGGAGGGGTGGGGGGACAGATAACTGCATCAGGCAGAGGGAACCATCAGCCACTCCCTTATTGACTCATGAGAGTGCCCCAGCCCCTGCCCTGGGCTCCCCTCCCTACTCTGTCACAGCGGCACGTGCATGCAAACCCCACACCTACCTGTGTGTTTGGGACACCTGCCCAGCCGCTGAGCTGCTCTCAGGAGTTGCTATCAGAGCTGGCTGGAAAGGGGAAGTCCCGTTTCTTGGAAAATTCTGGGGTGTCGATGTTTCATTTCCTATTGGAACAGCATGTCAACATCCCGGAAATTCCATTGGCCACAATGCCCGGGAGCTGGACATCAGGGCTGGCGCCCAGGCCACCCATGGAGCTGGACAGCCAGCCAGCCAGGACACCTGACCAACCGACCTGCCTGCCTGGCTTCCCAAAGTTTCAATGGAGTCAACACATTCTCATGGAACGTTTGTCACGTCAGCTGTTTCCAACAAACACTGTTAGGTCTAAAAAACGTCACCCTGCTTTATTGTTAGACAAGAGTTTTCTGCCCTCAGGGATGTGTTCAGCCAATGAAAGTTTGTTCTGATGATGTAATGATTTTTGCTCAAGTCCTCAACTGGTGTAAATCAGCATTGAATCACACCAGGTGGGGAGCTGTCCCCACTGCAGCATTGATTTACACCAGCTGGGTTTGCCAGAGGAGTTAGGACGTTCCTGTTCAGTTTGCTCATGTTGTTGGCTTTAGCTGTTAATAAAAAACCTCACTTTGGGACTCTAACTCTGCACCCTTGAACAGGGCTGCTCCAAATGCAACCCTGGCCTACATGACACAGCAGCTGAGTTTAACACGCCCATGCACTTAGACGTGGCCATTTGCAGCCACACAAACCCCAAACCCAGGAGCAGCAGATGGTCTAGGCTGCTCCAGTAACCGGCACTACCAGCTGTGACGTATCAGGTTCTTCAGAGACAATGTTCTCCCTGATGGTGGCTTAGAAGGTAGGAAATCAACTCAAACTCAGTTAGAGGCTCCTTGAAGATCAGGGGAAGAGATGAGAAATGCACATCTATTTGCAAACCAGTGCTTTTAATCAGAAATTGGATGGATGAAGACTCAGCATGAGGTTGCCTTTAATTCTTTCAACGACCATGACTAGGGCTGTCCATGCTGCCCAGGAAAGTGTGTTACGGGGCATTGACTGCTCGGGACTCACTTGGGCCAGCTTGTCTGTCCTTCTTGACTTTGGGAAACAACTCAAAGAGCATTGCAACCATAGAAATGGATTCAGCTGAGCCCCGGAGAACGTCTCCCTAAGCATGGAACAGCCTATCACCACGGAGAAAGGGTGGGAAGCCAGAATGCAGAACAAAACTCAGCTTCCCAAGAGAGCAGTGGGATAAGCCATGGAAAGTAGAAGCTGGGAAGTGCCATATGGATTATCAAGTCTAACCTTCTGCAATCAGTGATGCTTCTCCTCTCTGCAGGCATTCTCAGCCTGAGGGCATGACCCACAGATGGTTGCAAACAGGGTCAGGGGGCCACGACCCTGAATTGGGGAGATGGAAAAGGTTGAGAGCCATTGCCCAGAAGGCATTATCCTGTCTCTTCAGGAGCATTTCTAATGATGGGGTAAGGAGGAGGCTACTAAATGGGTGACCTGATGAGGAAGGGATCAACCCTTTATATAAACCTAGAGGGAGGAAGGGAGCAAAGGACCAGCATCGAGCCAGGCAGGGTCTAGTCACTGACTGGGAAGCTGTATGCCCTGGCTCTCCAGCCCCGACAGGCCCACGTGCTGGGCTCTGCTGCCAAACGAGCCCCAGAGGCCTGGAGCCTGTCCCCTCGTGGTTGGGAGCCCTTTCCACTCACCTCCAAGGTGAAGGGCCCCTGGGACCAGCAGAGTGCAGAAGACCCAAGTGGGGATCTCAGGCATCACCCCTATGTAATGGGCCTTTCACCTCTGGGGCGGTGTGGTGAGCACAAACCCTTCTCCCCAGCAGAGGGGTTTTGGAGGCAGCAGAATCAGGATGGGGGTGGGGGCTCCCACACCTCTCCAAGTTCCCTTCATCACAAGGGGCAGCTGGACACAGTTTATCAACATTGTTGCCCCTGTGGCCCCATGCCAAGCCAAGTTGAGCTCAGATGCCTGGACACCTGGTTGGTCAGGCCAGTCTCTGCCTTCTAAGGAAATGCATAATGGGGAATACAGGCCCTATTCTTCTAGCTGCCAAATGGCCCCCCAATGCCTGAAAACAGCGATGATGGTTTTCCCACAGGAAACGTGACTCCTCAGTCGAGTTCGGCGTGTGCGACGGAGCCTGCAGGGAGAGGCCTGAGCCCCTTCCGAGTCTGACCCTCCTCTTCCAAGACAGCTCCCCGCAGAAGGCACAGAGCAGACGGCTGATGCAGACAAATCTCTGGTTTGCAGCTAATCAGGCTCTTGCTTCCCACAGGTGCCTAATGCCAGAGTAACCATCTGTTCCCTGAACCCAGGTGTAGCTGGAGTGGTGAGGCTGCATCCAGAAGTGACTTGAAGTGAAGTGACCCGTCCTGGCCTCCCATTTCATCTGCCTGTGCTCTTCTTGCGGCCCCTGACAAGCAGCCCAACCCCGGTCCCTTCAGCACCTCCCCGGCTTCAGTGGAACCACAATGCTGACTGTTGCATTGTCGTAACCCAAGAGTCTCTGAATACTTTACAAACTAGGCTCAGGAATACGGTGACCAGACGTCCCGGTTTTATCGGGTCTGTCCCGATATTTACTTGTTTGTCCCGTGTCCCGACCCATGTTCGGTCAGGACGCGAATTGTCCCGATATTTTGCAGTCCGGCACACAGGGGGAGAGGGCTCGTGCCCCTCCGCCCCCAACTCAGCCCCGGCCTCAGCCTGACTCCACCCCCTCCCTGCCCCATAGGATCCCTCCCCAAATCCCCGCCCTGGCCCCGCTTCTTCCCCAAGCACGCTGCATTTCTCCTCCTCCCCCCTCCCTCCCAGTCTTGCGCGAATCAGCTGTAGGGCAGCTCCAAGTGCTGGGAGGGAGGGGGGAGGGAGGAGCAGGACGTGGCAGTGCGCTCAGGGGAGGCGGAGGTGAGCTGGTGTTTAGCTGCCGGTGGGGGCTCAGCCCCCACCAATTTTTCCTATGCTCCGGCGGCTCTCGTTTTGTTTTTTTGTTTTTCCCACCGCTGGTGACCTTCCCTCCCCTCCCCCCATTCCTGATATTTCATGTCTCTCATTTGGTCACCTTACTCAGGACTCACAACAGCCATTACCGAAATGCAGCTGCTTCTTGGGTGGATGGTGACAGTTGGTTAATTGACACAGCAATATCACAATCAGTTTAGGACAGGAAGTGTAGAAGAACCCTGTATCCAATGAAACTGCAGGTGGCTTTCAGAGAGGCAGCGTGTAAACAGCCCAAGACATAGAATCATAGAATCACAGGGTTGGAAGGGACCTCAGGAGGTATCTAGTCCCACCCCCTGCTCAAAGCAGGACCAATTCCCAACTAAATCATCCCAGCCAGGGCTTTGTCAAGCCGGGCCTTAAAAACCTCTAAGGAAGGAGATTCCACCACCTCCCTAGGTAACCCATTCCAGTGTTTCACCACCCTCCTAGTGAAAACGTTTTTCCTAACCTCAGGATTAACATGCCAGCTCCTACAGAAAGAACTAGGGGATCTGTAATGACCACAAGCAGCAGGGCCGGCTCCAGGTTTTTTGCCGCTCCAAGCATAAAAAAAAGAAAGAAAAAAGCCGGAGTGCCGCCGCCGAAACAAAGCAAAACAAAAGAAGGGCCGGAATGGAACGCCGCCCCTTGAAAAGTGCTGCCCCAAGCACATGCTTGGGATGCTGGTGCCTAGAGCCGGCCCTGCCAAGCAGCCAGGGGCTCAGTTCGACATCTCATCCATAGGGTACTTCCACAGCAGCCTCTAGCGCCCAGTTGGTTCAAGACCAGCTGAGAGGTGAGAGCGCCATCTACTGAAGCAGGTGTTCCTGTGAGGTCTCCCATTCAAGTACTGAACAGACACAACTTGGCTTTGCTGGCCCTTGCACCCAGCTGTGCATAACCCACCCTGCGCCCTCAGAGGAAGCTACGCAAGGCAAACCCCAGCTTGCTTTTGTGCATTGACATTCACTGCAGCAAATACCTGGAGAAAACAAGTATGTATTTTAATAAATTTGCCGGTAAAGCAAATCCCTCTGCCATATGCCATTTGTGGCGAAGCCTTTTTTGTGAAGGATCAGACAAGGACTCAAATGTTGCTGAAAGGAATTAGAATAATAAAACAGCTCCTCTGGGAAACGGGGAAAGCCTCCCGTTAATTGGAGCTTTGAGGCAAATACATGAATAATTCCTGCCATGCAACATGATCCAGCCCAGGTGGGAGCTGACGGAGGCTAACAATGAGAATGGAGCTTGAATGGTTTGTTAATGTCACAGGCACCTGGAAGATGGAATGATAGCCCCATGCGGACCATTTTACTGCATTGTGTTTTCCCACCAGGGCCCAGTAATAAGTAAGACCAGGGCCAGTGCAAGGAAGTTTTGTGCCCTAAGCAAAACTTCTACCTTGCGCCCCCGCCCCGCCCTCCGGCAGCTCCCCACCCCCACCACCCTGAGGTGCCCCCCCGCGGCAGCTCCTCCCCCTGCCCTGAGGCACCACCCCCCACGGCAGCTGCCCCCCCCCCAGGGAGCCGTGCAGCA